AGTTTTTCCCATAGTGCTGTCCTTGTAAGTTGTGTTCAACATCACAACAGTTTCTGAGGCATTTTTCCCAAACAAGAAACAAAATTTCACAGCCACACACTGTTCTCTTAAATCGGCCATCACAAAAAATGAGTTTCTAACGAAACTGCTTTGACAAAAAAAATTCACTGTGACCAAAGAGAACCTTCCCAAGCAACGCCACTGGGTGCACCAACTCAGAGCAAGGTAGTTGCTCAATGCTCACATAGCAGGGAAAAATACGTACTTTGAAAGCTCCACCCAGGGGAGCTTTTTTCTGTTTATTTATTTTTATTTTGGTACCCCCTCGTATTACATTCCTCTAAATGTCTCTATGGAACAAATCCAGGCTATACTTGTTTAGGAATGAGACATGTGTGTGTAGTATTAAATTGACATCCAAGAGGCCAAAAATCATATGAAGAAATGTTCGCGTTCATTTTGCAATAAAGGAAAGACAAATTAAAAAAACAATAAGATAGCACTTCACATCTACACTTTTAGCAAAATAAAAGAAAAATAATAATAATAAATGCCAAAGAAAGAGAATGCAGAAAGATTGGAATGTTCATGCATTGCTGGTGGGGTTGTAGAATTGTACAACTACTATGGAAATAAGTATGGCACGTTCTTAAACAAATATAAATACAATTACCTTATGATCCTGCAGTCTCTTTACTGGGTATATACTCTAAGGAAATAAAGAATACAACACAAACAGATAAATGCACACCCCTGTTTAGTGCAGCAATTTCCATAATACCAAAAACATGGAAACAACTAAATCTGCTTATAGAAAAAGGGATAAACACTCATACAAGGTAATATTATGCATTAATAAAAATAAAACAAAGAGGGATCTCTTAATCACCTCAAGACATAGACAAAGCTAGAAAACATCCTGCTAAGCAAAGTTAATCAATCTGATAAAAGATAAATATTTAATTGCACATAAGGAAAAACAAAGAAAAAGGAAAGTGATTTTTACACCCAAAGATACGACTTTGAAGACTACAGGAGGCCAGAGATCAGGGGCAAGGAGAGGAAAAAGTAGAAATTACAGAGGGAGGGAAGACATATGGGAGGAGGAAAAAGAGAACCACATTTATGGGGGGGCTTCAAGGGACATTATTACTGATCTCATTTGTTGAAATGAATAGGCTGTGCAAGAACAAAAAATATGCTTCATTAAAAAAAAAAAAGAACCTAGAATGCACGTTCATAGACTTGGAATTCCTCCAGGTTCCTTACGGCTCATCGGATTTAAATAGTGGTCTGAGTGCCTAAAACGGGAGGAAAAGCAAAACTGATGTGGACTTTGGATTTCTTTAGTGACATACAAGTTCATTTCAAACATATGGGGGAAAATATTAAGTTGAAAATACACAAATACACAAGGACATATCCTCTTAAAAGCAACTGAAAACAAAAATATTCAAGTTCACATGATGATCAGATTTCATTCATGTAAGCTAGTAGAATTATCACGATATCAACAAACATAATCCCAAGTGTACTTATTTTGAACAAATAATCTTTTCTTTGTCTTAGCATGTTTACATTTTTTCCCTTAAAGTTCATTTACAAATGAGTTAGGAGTATTAATTACAGTAATGATTAATCTAAGAAATTATTTTAATAAATACACATATTTACTCATTTTTTAATGAAAAGAAATTTTTTAACTTTAAAAATTGTAATCAGTAGAAAAGGAAGAAATGGATTAGAGGAGTAAGCAGAGGTATACATATCTTAAAATACCATGCTTTATAGATTTTATTTCTTCTATATAATTATAAAAAGCAAAAGTTTATTTATTTATTTTTGTTTGTTTTGTTTTTTCTTTTTTTATCTTTTTTTTTTAACATTTTATTAGTGGCTCATACAACTGTTATCCCAATCCATACACACATCAATTGTGTAAAGCACATTTGTACATCGTTTCTCAAAACATTTTCTCTCCACTTAAACCCCCGATATTAGGTCATTTTTCCCCTCCCTCCCCGCTCCCCCCTCCCTCATGAGCCCTTGATAGTTTATAAATGGGTATTTTGTCATATCTTGCCCTGTCCGACGTCTCCCTTCATCCACTTTTCGGTTGTCTGTCCCCCAGGGAGGAGGTCACACACAGTTCCATGTAATCGGTTCCCTCTTTCCTACCCATTCTCCCTTTACCCTCCCTGTTTTGCCACTCACACCACTGGTCCTATAGGGCTCATCCGTCCTGGATTCCCTGTATGTTCAGTTCCTATCTGTACCAGTGTACATCCTCTGGTCTACCCAGACTTGCAAGATCGAATTCGAGTCATGGTAGTGGGAGCGGGGAGGAAACATTTAGGAACTAGAGGAAAAAGTAAAAGTTTATACAGTAATCCTTAAAAATATAAACAAATTTAACTGTATACTGATCAAGATAGAATAACCACACAGAGAAATATTATTTCAAATGATTTTACAACACAGTAATTCAACAGTGAAGCCTTAATGGAATACACCCTAAGAACAAGAAATATATATATTTATTTAATCTTAAAATGTTTAAGTAAAAATACTGTTGACAGTACCACTAAAACCAACCAACCAACAGTATGTACTTGAAGAGAAGGTCTGACTCCAAGTCTCAGAGTCCCTTAAGATGAGCCGAGAGCACCTCATCATGCCAAAATACACTATTGAGGACAGGTCAAAAGGCCTTAAGACATAAGGTGACCAGATTTAAAGCGCGACATCATTGACCGGGGGAAGGGGGAGAGCGGGGATTCTTGATTAAAAATTTGGTCTATATGGACCAAATAGACCGTTCCCTAGCTTGTCATGCATTCTTTCCAAAAATCAGAACTTTTTAAAAACGCCCAAAAGCAGGGCGTCTGGTCACCTTACGCAAGAGCCAACCTGTAGAGACAGAGTGGTTAAATGTGGGATCAGTAAGAATTCAGTTGTTATGGGCTGGAATGCTTCAAATATTTGATTTAACAAGACCGTAAAGACCCTTTAAAAAAAATTCCAGTTTAAAAAGCGATGCAGAAGAAGTGAATGGTTTAACGTGGCTCTTCTACCCAAAGTCTCTAGCTCCCACCCAATGACTTTTTTCTTCCATGGGCCTGGTAAGAAGGTGGAGGAAGATACGATAGGATTCACCTGTGTGTAACTGTAATTAAGATTTCCTGTAATCTCATCCTGTTGGGTATAAAATGAGCACTCTGTTAAGCAGGAGAGAGGAGTGGAGGGAGTTCTCTGGCCCAGAGATTCCTGACAGTGAACCTCCTGGATACAAAAGACAGCTATAATATCTGAGGAGAAGCAGTAGAACCAGGTGCTATCACGTGAAAAAGACTGGTGGACTTCCCAGCCTAGAAGCCTAATTCCTTCAAGTAAAGTTGAGTGTGCTTCAGGGTAGGAGGTGGGCTTGTGAGTGGTGCTCGGACACTTGTTCCGGGAGGTGGATCTGGTAACCCACCGAGTTTAAGCTGAATGCCTTAGGATTTAGGCTCACAGCAGAGTGGTATGACCCTTTAGACAGGTATTAGCAGACCTGACAAGTGCTGATAACCAAATGTAACCTGAGTATTTCTTACTTGCATTAGAACCCGTCTACTTCCTTAATAAACCTTCTAATCATGAATATTGTCTGTGAATTCTGTGTAGGCATTAGAGTATCACCATATTAAAAAGCCCAATTCATTAATTAGGGGGCTAACAATGATTACTAACAATGCTACCACCACAAAGTTAGAGAGCTACAGATAACCAGATACTGTGTGCCTCTACAGAAAAACATGCAATACCACTTAGGGAACAGTTTTGCTGGGAATGAAAGAAAATCAAACCTGAAACTGATTAAGGAAATGCAGAAGACTGGAAATATTTCATTACACCATGGAGGTGAACTAACTAAAGTTGATAGTGTAAAGCAAATGACTTTTGTCCTTCAACAAATGGCCTTATGGTCCCTCCAAGAAATGAAATTCAGGGGAAGGGAGTAAGGAATCTGTGGATAAAAAATGAGAATATGTAAGCAGTACATACATAGGTCTATCTTTCCTATAAATTGTACCAAAATATCCACTTAGACTTTCATTAATTAACATTGTTAAAAAATAAAATAAACATACCTACCTCCTCACCCCCAAAAAACTGTAGAGTGTAAATTTTATTTGATCCTTTTTTTTTTAAACAAAAATAAAATGGAAGAAGGAAAATAGCAGGGCAAGGAAAAAGAAGAGAAATCGGCCAATTCTAAATAATGTCCAAATATTTAATAGTATTACCAAGTTACTACATATTTTTAACTGGCACAAAAGTACTATATGGTTGTATGTTAGAATTTAATGATGAAATGTTTATAGAGGAGATCATATCTGGAATTTTCTTCAAAATAATTCTAGATGTGAGAAGTATGGGAAAAGTTTTAAAAAGAAAGATAGATGAAATAGGGTTGGCCATAAACTAAAAATGTCTATAGGAACAGGAAGCTTATTATGCTATTTCTATTTTTAATATTTGAAAATTTCAGAAAAAATTTAAAACACACAATAAAATTCACTTGTGTTCCACTATACCACCAGGGCTCCTACTTGGCTTAAAAGAGAGACTCCAGGAGTGGACAAAGTCCTTTGGATCTGGGTTCCCTGCACTGAGAACATCCTATACCCTGTAAACAAGCAGTTGGATTCTGGGCTTCCACTTAACCCTAGCTCCAGCCTAGGAACAGTTAGTTCTGATAACATGGCCCTGCTCAATATTCACCTTCATGAAAGGATCACTGAAGATAAGGGTGCGACAGCAATGTAGGTGAAGAAAGCAGATGGTCCCCAGCTACCAAATGGAATAATGCCTGGGGTCTTAAAGGCTTATATTCAAACAAGCAGCCATCTAAGTGAGGAGTCAGCCAAGTCACAAGGAAGAAGCACACCAGCCTGTGTGATCCAAAGATGACAATAACAAAACCCAAATATGATGAAGGGAAAGTAGTAGAAGGCTGGGACAGGGGACAATGAGAACCCAAAATCCATCTGGAGTATCAGATTAAGCCTCTCACAAATCTCTTCTAATCATGGGCAAGGGATTTTAACAGTTTTCCTGTCATATACAGACATCTGTAATCTTGATTATGGTAGATCAACCAAAGTATAATTTGAAACTTGGTCAACTGACCTCCATCTTGACCCAACCTTAATTTGATCTAGTCTCAAGAATTTCTTACTTGCTCCACAACAAAAATTTCTTCCCTGGCTTTTTAAATATTGATGGTGGTCTTTTCTTTATTAGTATTTTTATATTATTCTTTTTTTATTCTTGCCATTTTATCTGTTTTTGTTTTTAACTGTTACTGCTGAGGTTCCCAGTTTGAGAAACACAAAAGGAGTTGTTGTACAGAGATAGCTGATGCAATGGTTTTTCAGGGATGTGTTGGGGGGGGTGGGGGATGAGCGGTGAAGATAGAGAGCGTGAGGGGATTTGGGGAGCAAACAAGGAATCCGGGAGGGGGCAGCAAGCACTGGAACTGATTGTGATTAAGTATATGCCACTCATTTTAAACGTGATTTAACCATGAGGGTATATGATTTGTGAATACTGTATCAAGAAAACCACTTAAAAAGAATGTTGATATAATATGAAAAATGTAGCCAATGTCACTGAACATATATGTATGTATAGACATTGTTTAATGGGATTCTAATTTGCT